CATCAGGTTAGGGAACTTTTCTGTCATTATTTCTTCAAACAGGTTCTCTATTCCTTTCTCTGATTCTTCTCCTTCTGGTACCCCTATGATGCAAATGTTGTTATGTTTTATATTGTTCTATAGCTCTCTTAAACTATCCTTCTGTTTTGTTTTGTTGGGGTTTTTTTTTTCCAATTGCTGCTCTGATTGTTGTTGTTGTTGTTTTTTCTACCTTGCCTTCAAATTTGCTGATTCAGTTCTCAATCTATTCTAATCTACTGTTCATTCCTTTCAGGGTATTCTTTATTTCAGCTGTCATTCTTCATTACTGATTGATTTTTATTCATGGTTTCTACATCTTTTTTCATGCTGATGTAGTTTTCACTAATTTCCTCATAGTTCTCATTAAATTGCTTGTAGTTCTTCTAAGTTGTGTTAGCACCCTTATAACCAGTACTTTAATCACTTTATCTGAAAAATTGCTTACCTCTGTTCCACCTAGTTTCTTTTCTGGTGATTCCTCCTTTTCTTTCACTTGAGGATTGTTTCTTTTTCTCCCCATTTTAGCAGTCCAGGTCACTGGGTGAAGTGTACAGGGTGGTGGGGCAAGTGCACGCATCTTGGGTCATTGGATCACACCAGGATTTGGTGGTGGGTGCTATCTTCTAGTGACACCAGGTCTGTGCTTCAGGGTATCATGTCACAGCACAGCATGGCACACTGGGTCTCAGAATCAGTTTTGGTCATCCAAGAGTGCTAGATCAGGCACACAGGGTCACAGAAGTAGGTCCTTGTGACCAAGGGCATTGGGTCATGGCAGCAGTAGGACCAGATGTGGCATGTTGCAGCAGCAGCAGTGGCACTGGTCAGCACAGATTGCAGCAGTGAGACTGGCAGGACTTGTTTCAGCAGTCACAGTGGCAGTGGGGCTGGTCATGGTGGGTTGCAGCTGAGCAGCAAGGCCTGTTGTGGTGGTGGCAGCAGTGGGACTGGTCACAGCAGATTGCAACAGTGGTGGCAGCAGGGTCATATTTGGCAGGTTAGAGTTGCGGGACCAGTCATGGAGGGTTACCACATTGATGATGGTATTACACGTGCCTGTCCACAGCCATGGGGTGCTGGGTCTTGGCCACTCTCCACAACCCCCTCACCAGGAGTACCCTGTGGAGCCACCAGAATGGCTGTCTAATCCCAAGAGGCAAGAAACACTGGGCCAAACAGTACATGGGCAGCAGCCAGTAGCCCCTGACCCCTTCCAGGAGTATCCCACCAACCTACTCTTAGCTCCCACACTGACAGACAGATGCCAACCCACACACACACTCACCCACTCACTCTCACCCTTACTTCAATCCTATCTACCACCATATTCATCATCTCCTTGAAAACTGCTCTGGGTTTTGATATTTCTGCAGGGTGGTAAAAAACAACCTGTGTTCTCTGCAAGGAAGGGTCATCTGAATTCATGTCTCCTGGGTCTCAGGGGAACAACACCATGAGGGATTATTGTAGGTGCTGAGGGTTCCAAAACCATTAAATCCCAGTATTGTCCCCTGCAGCCAGATGCTACCAGCAGTGCAGCTGTGATGAGTGGGGGTGGGGTGAGCTGGGAAGCTGACTGTTCTCTTTGTTGCTTTGCTCTCAGAGTAATGGTGACTGGCAAACCTCAGTAGCCTCCCTTCTCTGTCTCAACCACTCCCTGGGACTAGTCGCAGAGTGTGCATTTCACAAAGGGAAAAAATATTCAGTAGTGCAAGGTCTTTAGTTTGCAGATAAGGTGTTCTGAAATCCAAGACTCACTGCTACAGCCTGTTTTGGGTATGCTGCTTGCTCTGGGAGGGTGAAGAGAGGCAGCCAAGCTCCATGGCTTTCTTTCTCTGTTTGGAATACTCTTTGACAAACAACTGTGGCCGCACCTCCGTGATTTGTCTCAGCACAGGTCACTGGGCCCAGCCTCAGGTCCTACTGACCACTCCTATAGGAATGCACACTATCTGTCTTTGCTCCTCCCAACTGAAGGGAATTCCAGCAACAATTTGATTTCTCCCCTCCCCAGGCTGAGCCCCACAGTGAGTTCCGGGCTGGGAACTCTGGGCTGCATCTTGGGCCCATCTCAGCCCATCTCCCGCCCACATCCCCCGTTCACTCCCACACGTCCACCTTTAGACGTTTTACTGTGAGGATATCTCAGACATGTTTGTGCATTAAAAAGTGAATTGTCTGTTGCATCATAGCTGATCAAATTGTTAAATTGTTTAAATCTCAAGGGGAGACCCCAAGGGGACCTCTCACACCACCAGTTTTCTAACATCCTAGCCATAAACATGTATCGTATGTTGATGTGTTAGAAGTATTCTTGTTAAACTCCGCAATGCCTCCATCATAGCTCAGGCAACATTTCACTGAAAAATAACTAGTCAGAACAAATTGTTTTTTAATTGGAAAAGAAATGCAAACAGCTCTGTAGATAATATTTTATAATATAAGAGCTTAGCAATTTGGGTGAAATATCATTAATTAAATACATTCCTTTATAACAATAGTTTGAAATATCATTAAGATGCCACTTACCATACTAGTAAAAATATAGGATATTTAGGGAAGAAACATAATGAATAAAGTCAATACCTTCATATGGAAATTCATATGGAAAGCATTGAAAATACCTAAATAACTGGGGACATGATCACATTCACTGATAAGAGGAGTCCAGATTGCAGATATCAAATCTCTCTGCACCTGAAACAACATGCTTAATGTTATTGTAATAAAATATTAAGACTGTTTTTGGGGAGTAGAGACTTCACGAGCTGCTTCTCAAATGTACATGAAAGAGCCAATAGCTGACTATGTCATAAGACAATGAGGTGGGGGATGGGCCCTTCCTAACAAGGCTTGTTATGGATGTCTGTGTGCTGGGCTAGGTCATGGATACCAAGGGTAGTAGAATCTGCTGGGTTATTTCTGGTAACAAAAGCCCCCACCTGTGATCAGCTTCTAGCACAAACTTTATTTCCCACTTGTGTACCTCACCGCCCCATGTGCACTGCCCATCCCAGGATCCCGAAGGCTGCTGACTTCATGTTCTTTGGGTGCCAGGCTGTGGGTCCACCTGAATCCTGTCTAGATTCTTACAGATGCTGTCCAAAAGTCGCACATGTAACTTCTACCACCATTTCCCTGGTGGAATCAAGTCCAAGCCTGAAGCGGAAGAGACAGTGAGGAGCAGGAATGCCGTGGCCCACGCTGTAAGTCAGATACGGTGGGATTGGCACTAACTATATAAACCAACAGGCAGATAAAGGGACCGCCACAGGCACAGAACCAGACCCACCCCTATGGACCTGACACAGGTCAAAGGTGACATGCCAATCACCGAGGAAAAGGGGGAGGACTCAGCAGAAGATGCCGGGACTGTCGGCTCCACGTGTGGAAAATGTGAAGTCAGGTCCCTGGCACAAACCACTGACACATGAACTCCAGCTGGATAAACATCAGTGTCAAAGGCAAATCATTAAAACGTTTCAGATATAATGAATATACTAAACCTTTAGTGGAGAAGAATTTCTTAAAATAAGATTTGAAAAGCTGCAAATCTTAAAGTTTTTAAAAAGTAACAGATTCAACTACGTGCAAAGTAAGATTTCTGCTTTATTACAAGACAATACAGTGGGGGAAAAAACAAGCTCAGACTGGAAAAAGATATTTCTAACTTGATAAAGAATTAGTATCCCAAATATATAAGGAAGGCTAAAAAAAGAAAAAGAGATAAATACCCGAATCAGAGAATGGATACAGGCAGAAATAGGCACTTTGAAACAAAACAAAACAAAAAAATGAATGATCAAAATCTCTTGAACAGAAGACCAATATCATCAGTAATTAGGGGAATGCAAATTAAGTCCATAATGAGATGCCTAGCCAGTAGGAAAAGATATAAATACTTGACAATACCAATTGGCATGGCAGATGGAAAACCTACTCCACTGTTGAAAAAATATACCAAGTTTCATCATTTCTAAAATATCATTTATTTACGGTATCTCATCATCTTAAATACCATGCCAACAGGCAGTAACAACTGCCAACACAATGCTTTTATCACTTGTCATTTTAGTCATACTGGAAGATCTATTTTAGACTTAATATAGCAGTGTTTTTACCATGTATCACTCTTCTTTTGTGCTTATAAAAACAAGGAAATAAAAATATGCTGGTTAAGATATTTCTGAAAACTTCTCACAGTGCTGATCTGAATTTCTGAATCTCTTTGACTCAGAAATGCTATGCCCTTGTTCTTCCATGGGACACACAAGCCATCCTCACTCACCCTCTCAATGTCTGGTCCACAGAACCTGCGGCCATAACAACATGGTTCTTGTTTATGTCATTGAGATTGGGGGGGGGGGGGTGTTTCACAACAGTAGATAACTGGAAGGTCCCTCATGCACAAAGGACTTGGCATCCTTGCATGACCTTCTTCCCCTTCTGGCCCCTTCCGTCCCCTGGCTGACTTCAGAGTCCACACGCATGCCCACTGGAACACTCTAGCCTCCCAATTCCTTCACCTCCTCACCTGCAGTGATGTCCTTATCTAATTCACCTCAGCTGCCCTTTCAATTTACAAAAGGTAGAATCTCGACAACACTAATGCCCACCTGTGAGGGTTTGCGTCAAGAGACCAATGGAGACCTGCTCTTACTGCCCCTCCAAAGGTGCCAGGACCCCACCTGGGATGTCAATAGACAGGTCACTGAACAGAGCTTCAGGTCACAAAGTCACCATGCCAACCTTCATGTCCATCAAAAAAAACATGGAATTCTGCCTCCATGGGGCGGGGGAAGGGTCGAGAGGTAGTGGGGTCTCTTGCCCTAGAGTGAGGTGCTGGCCTCTGCTGCCTAAAGGGCAGGTACCAGGTAGAGGCTCACAGGGTGACTTGCTGAAAGGGCTGAGGGACCAAGGCCCCTCAGCACAGGCAGAGGCAGCTGGGGTGGCATCCTGTGGGGCCTGAGGTGGCCGTCATGGGAACTGGTGGTCCCAGGGTACCAGGTCCTACACTGTTCCTGCTCCTGGTGCTGCCGCCTTCTCTGATGAGCAAGAAGAGCTTCCTGAACAGCATCCTGGGGCCCAGAGACTGCCAGCACCGCAGCCTGAACTGGGGAAGCCTGCACGGCCACCTCAGCCAGGCAGGGGGGCGTGTCCACCACTACCGCAGACGAGCCGCCTGGCAGAACACGGCCACAGACACACGTTCCTGCCAAAGCATAGGTGACCTCTACTTCGTCTTGGACATGTGAGTGGCCCCCGGGACCTGGCCCCAGGTGTCCCAGGCTGCTGTCCATAAGGACAATATGGGCAGGACATGACCAAGGGAACCCCAGATTCTCAGAGGCAGGAATCAAAGCCAGCTTTGTCGGACCCTAGGAACAGATCTTTGTCGCCTTTTTGTTCTTGAAGCAGAAGAAATATCCCAGGTCTTTGTGTCTTGGGACTGTTTTCTTTGGGAAGGAAAAAAACACCCAGGGTTTTCGCTGGATCTCAGCCCTCTACCCACATGGCCAGAATCTGTGAACCACATGCCCCTTATGGAGCTGGAGGGGCAGGTGATGGTGAGGAGCTTCTGCTGAGCAGTTATTAGAAGCTCACTGTGAGTTATGGGTTTCATTGTTGTGTTATGTTTCATTTTGTTTTCACCCAGTGACTTCCATTGTCACTGGGCCCTGAGAGACAGCTGTGTGTGTCTGTGGACATTCTTGTAGCTCTTTGCTCTGCTGCTCCTCAGTGTACTGGTGGTCTCTCCAACCTCCTGGAAACCCACGTTGGGCTTGGTGTGCACTTCCAGAACAGTCGGTCTGTCGGGGTGTGTCTGGGAAGCTGGGCTGTGTGTTGGGTGCCCTCTGGCCCTCCAAGAAGGAAAGGGAGGGGCTGCAGGCTTGGAGAGATGGCCGCAGTCCCCTTTCCAACTCCTCTGCTCCATGGGACACTGGTGTGGCAGCCAATAGAGTGGTTGGAGCACTGCAGTCCCCAAGGCCCTTTCACTCCGTCTGTCGCCCTGAAAACTGTCCTGGGAGGCAGAGTAGGGAAGGTGTTTGCATGTACAATTGCTGAGAAAGGCGGCAGCTCCTAGAGGTTGGATGAAGGAGCTCGGAGGCTGATGGTCACAGGACTAGGGGTTCCTGAGCTGCCTCATTCCAGCCTCCCCAGTTGTACTGCCTGAGTCCTCTGATTCTCCATGGAGACTAATGATTGGCGGGGGGACGGGGGTCATGTGCACCCCACCAGGGCTGAAAAGTTAGCAGAGCTGGGAACCACCCAGAAGTAAGTCCATCTTCACTGTACATGGAGAGAGTGCTGAAAACACTGCGCAGGGCTGACTGGTTGATCCTGAACATAGCCCAGGGGTGGTGATTTCCTCTTGGATACAGGGGTTGGAGATGGATGGGTCATGTGCAGGACTGACCGCCTCTTCGGGTCAGTCAGCACAATAGTGACCTCACAGGACCCTGTCAGTGTCATCCTCTTACACTGCCCCGGTCCACACCCCTGGTCTCTGCTTACAGGACCATTGTGGGCACAGCCCAGTCCTGGTATGAACAACAGAGGCCTGTGGGTAGAAGTGGGCATGGGAACAATATTGAACCTTTAGTATGTGTCATGTAAGGTGCTGACCACTGTGTACTCCCAAGAGCTGAGGGCCTAGGTTCTACCTCCCTGTTGTAGGGTGATGATACTGAGATTTGGAAGGGCTCAGTGTCAATCAAAGCCAGTTTGCTGCAAATCTTTACATAGTGGGGAATGGTCCCCCATCCCCTCTCCCAAGGAGGGTGTGAGTCGGGGGACAGGAAAGGCTCACCGACATGGATTCCTGAGCCAGGGTGTCCTGACTTCTTGCCTCTCTCGACCCCCCACCTCCACCTTCTGCTCCGTGGGCTTCTTGACGGGCTGGGAGCAGCTCTGGTCCCTCTGACCACAGCTGGCTGCAGCCGTAGCTCCGTGTGGGGCACGGGCCTTGCCCTGAAGCTGGGAGGGCAGGGGAGCAGGGGAGCAACTCAAGTTCCCGGTGCCCTTTCTCCGGCTGCAGGGCAGAGGCTGCTCTGTCACCCCAGGCACTGTCAGTCTGCACACTTGCCATTCATGGGGCAGGACAGACGCCTGCAAATGGACGCACCTGGGAGGGTGTCCCAGAGGGAGCCCCAACCCAGCCCTGTCCCAGCCCCAGGCCCCCAGGGGAGCTCGTGGAGGGCATGCCTGCAGAGGCCAGGACAGGCAGGCTGACCCCACAGCCCTGTCCCAGCCCCAGGCCACCAGGGAAGCACGTGGAGGGCATGGCTGCAGAGGTCAGGACAGGCAGGCAGACCCCACAGCCCTGTCCCAGCCCCAGGCCCCCAGGTGAGCACGTGGAGGGCGTGGCTGCAGAGGTCAGGACAGGCAGGCTGACCCCACAGCCCTGTCCCAGCCCCAGGCCACCAGGGAAGCACGTGGAGGGCATGGCTGCAGAGGTCAGGACAGGCAGGCAGACCCCACAGCCCTGTCCCAGCCCCAGGCCCCCAGGGGAGCATGTGGAGGGCGTGGCTGCAGAGGCCAGGACAGGCAGGCTGACCCCACAGCACACCATCTCCCTGGAGCCCTGCTCACTCCTGTGCCTGAAGAAGACCTTGCTCCCTCCAGGCCGGCTTGATGGGAAGTCCTTGGAGGGGGAGCCTGGCTCCCTCCTCTGGCTATCCCTGTGCCTCTGGGGAAAGGGGAGTGATGACCCCAAGGAGGCAGCCCCAGCTCTGCACCAGGCAGACACCTCTCACCACTCAGGTGGCCTTGGGCAAGTCACCTCACCTGCTGTGCCTCAGCGTCCCCCTCTCCAGGGGCCCTTCAGACCCACCTCAACAGTCGGGATGGAATAAAGGGGAGAGTGTAGGTAGTTTGCTCAGAGTCAGATGCAGTCAAGGGGATGAGCGTGAACTGAAATGCCAGGGACTCCAGTCACTCACTCTGCACCCTGCCCTCCAGGGCCATGGATCCGGCCTGACTCCGGGCTGCGCTCTGTTCCCTGGGCCTTGGGGCGAGGGGGGTGCTGCCAGACGCCTGTGCTGGGGGCACTGCCCTGGTTCCCTGGGCCTTTCACCCATGCGGGGAGCACTCCTGTTCATTCCTTTGCTTCCTTGTTGATCACCTGCTCACAAACAGCTACCGAGCAGCTGCTAAGTGCTAGGTGTCAGCCACTATTTCACAGTGGGGGTAAGGCCAGAAACAAACTAGACGAAATCCTTGCATTCCTGGGGCTTCTGTTTTAGTATAGAGGCAGGAAATATGAAAGGGGACAGGAAGTAGTGCGTTAGATGGATACATACCAGGGGGAGTTGGGGCAGAAAGACGGAAGTGCCATTGGAGGGGCCATTCTAAAGAGGTGGTCGGGTAAAGCTTCTTGCACAAGGGGGGGGGTGGTCAGCAGAGGAGATGAGCGCTTGGATCTTATTCTAAAACAATCACTATTTGAGGGCACGAGGGCAGAGGCTGGGGAGACCAGTGAGGGGACCGGCGCAGGGGCCTGGGGAGCGAGATGCTGCGGTGTGAACTTGCAGGGTGGAGTGGCCAGGTGTTTTATCCGACTTGGAGGTCCAGGCCACAGGCTGCCAGTCAGATTGGATGTGGGGAGACTTGGTGTGGCCCTAGACAAGGTAAGAGGAGGGGTAGAAGCAGTCTCCTCCAACTGTGGGCAAATGTCACCTCCCATATTTTATAGACTAGGTGAGCCGGTGGCTCGGGGCCAGGGAACGATCAGCCAAACCCCCAGAAGGGGAATGGGCCAAAGCGCAAGTCTAGAATGTGTGATACCAAACCCGATTTCAAGAACGCTGGCACTGGGCCAGTCCCTGAGAACCGCTTCCGTGGCCGTGGCTGTGGATAATCTGTCACCTGCAGGAAGGTCCTTTATTTGAATTTCCTTATTCCTTTGGTAATTCATGAGATTGAATTGAATGATAACAACTTTCCCTTGTGCTCACAGTAATGGCCAGTGGCCTCTGGGGGCCAGGGAGCCCCAGGCCGAGGGAGGCCTATGCAAAGGCATAAACAGTGTGGTCCTCTCGTGATCCCAGAAGATTCCAGAGGGGGGAGGGGGAGAAAGGAGGAGGCAGAAGAAGAGGGACAGGCCAGTGCTGGGACCCCGGGCACAGGAGATACGTCTTCACGTTTCCACTATTTGAAAGGAAGGTTTTCACTGGCAGGTCACGAGCAGTCCTCTGGCAGGTCACTGGCAGGTCACGAGCAGGCCTCTGGCAGGTCACTGGCAGGTCATGAGCAGGCCTCTGGCAGGTCACTGGCAGGTCACGAGCAGTCCTCTGGCAGGTCACTGGCAGGTCACAAGCAGGCCTCTGGCAGGTCACTGGCAGGTCATGAGCAGGCCTCTGGCAGGTCACTGGCAGGTCACGAGCAGGTCACTGGCAGGTCACGAGCAGGCCTCTGGCAGGTCACTGGCAGGTCATGAGCAGGCCTCTGGCAGGTCACTGGCAGGTCACGAGCAGGTCACTGGCAGGTCACGAGCAGGCCTCTGGCAGGTCACTGGCAGGTCACTGGCAGGTCATGAGCAGGCCTCTGGCAGGTCACGAGCAGGTCACTGGCAGGTCACAAGCAGGCCTCTGGCAGGTCACTGGCAGGTCACAAGCAGGCCTCTGGCAGGTCACTGGCAGGTCACTGGCAGGTCACGAGCAGTCCTCTGGCAGGTCACTGGCAGGTCACGAGCAGGTCACTGGCAGGTCACGAGCAGGCCTCTGGCAGGTCACTGGCAGGTCACTGGCAGGTCATGAGCAGGCCTCTGGCAGGTCACGAGCAGGTCACTGGCAGGTCACAAGCAGGCCTCTGGCAGGTCACTGGCAGGTCACTGGCAGGTCATGAGCAGGTCACTAGCAGGTCACTGGCAGGTCATGAGCAGGCCTCTGGCAGGTCACTGGCAGGTCACTGGCAGGTCACTGGCAGGTCACAAGCAGTCCTCTGGCAGGTCACGAGCAGGCCTCTGGCAAGTCACTGGCAGGTCATGAGCAGGCCTCTAGCAGGTCACGGGCAGGTCACTGGCAGGCCACTGAAAGAAAGGCTTTTACCAGCAGTCAAATGGATCAGACCTGGGTTTTAAAAGGAGCCTTTGGGCTGCCTGGGGGCGGACAGGTTGGAAGGTAGAATGATGGAAGTATGACTGGAATTGAAAGGTCAGTGGAGGTCAGAGGAGGTCTGAGAGTCTGGGTAAAGGCAGCTTTGTCCAGTGAGAGGAGAATGGGGGCACAGACCTCAGAGGAACACCCCCAT